ATAGTATTCTTGGCTGTATATTTTTCTCATTTAGTGCTCTGAATATATCATGCCAGTCCTTTCTGGCCTGCCAGGTCTCTGTGGATAGGTCTGTTGCCAATCTTATGTTTCTACCATTGTAGGTTACAGATCTCTTCTCCCGAGCTGCTTTCAGGATTTTCTCTTTGTCTCTGTGACTCATAACGTTTACTGTTAGATACCAGGTTGTTGACCTATTTTTATTGATTTTGAGGGGCATTCTCTGTGCCTCCTGGATTTTGATGACTGTTTCTTTCCCCAAATTAGGTAAATTCTCTGCTATAATTTGCTCCAATATACCTTCTGCCCCCCTCTCTCTTTCTTCTTCTTCTGGGATCCCAATTATCCTAATATTGTTTCATCTTATGGTATCACTATCTCTCGAGTTCTTCCCTCATGATCCAGTAGTTTATCTCTCTTTTTCTCAGCTTCTTTATTTTCCATCATTTGGTCTTCTAGATCACTAATCCTCTCTTCTGCCTCATTTATCCTAGCAGTTAGCGCCTCCATTTTTTTATTGCACCTCAGTAATAACGTTTTTGATTTCGACTTGGTTAGGTTTTAGTTCTTTCATTCTCCAGAAAGGGTTTCTCTAATATCTTCCATGCTTTTTTCAAGCCCATTTAGTATCTTTAAAATCATGATTCTGAACTCTAGTTCCGACATCAATAATGTCCATATTGATTAAGTCCCTGGCAGTTGGTACTACCTCTTGTTCTTTTTTTTGAGGTGAATTTTTCCATCTTGTCATTTTGTCCAGAGGAGATTGGATGAATGAGAGAACAAACTGCTTACAGGGTAACAACGACTCCAGAAAAATATACAGTAAACAAATCAGAAGAGACCTGAAACTGGGGAAAAGAAAGGGAAAATAAGAAAAAAGAAAAAGATAAAAAACAAACAAAAAGCAGAATATGATCAAATATGATCAGGCCAGTGCATAGATCAGTGCCACACACTAGATTTTGGGCATATTTTGGTCTTTTAGAAGAAAGTACCTCCCGAAATTTTAAAGAAAAGCTTTTATATGTATAAAAATAAGGGTAAATACAATGAAGGGATGGAATATGACTGTAAAGATGAAAATTAGAAAAGATTTTATAAAAGGAATTGATAAGAAGTTGGTTGAAAAAAGAAAGAAGAGGATTTAAAAAAAAAAAAAGGAGGAGAGAATGTGATCAGGCAGGACACTAGAACAAAGCCATACACTAGAGATTTAGGGTATATTTTGGTCTGTTAGAAGAAACTGTATCCCAACAATTTAAAGAGAGAACAACATATATATATATATATACCAAAAATAAGGTTAACTACAATTAAGGGATAGAATATGACTCTAAAAATGAAAAATAAAAAAGAATTTTTAAGGGGATTGATAAGATGTTGGTTGAAAACGGGAAAACAAAAAATTCAAAAAAAAAAGAAAATTAAAAAATTTAACTTTGAAAGACTAAAGAATCATTGGAATAAAACCATGAATTCTATGTGCAGTATTCCACTAGTGCTGGAGTTCTGCCATTCTCATTGATTGGTAGACTTGGTCTTGGCTGGCTGTTCTTGCCGATCTTCTGGGGGAGGGGCCTGTTGCCATGGTTCTCAGATGTCTTTGCCGGAGGCAGAAATGCCCCGCCCTCACCCGGTCCAGGCTAAGTAATCTGCTTGGTTTTGCTTCGGGAGCTTTTGTTCCCTGCAAGTTTTCCGTACAGCTTTGGAGGATGAGAGTGAAAATGGCGGCTTCCCCATCTCCACCATGGAGGAGCCGAGAACTCAGGGCCTCACTCCTCAATGAACCCCCAGAGAAAAGCAGTCGATCCCTCCCATCTCCCCAGTCTCTGGCCGTACTTCATGCTCACCTGGCCTGTGACCGAATATTTCTATCTCTGGCACACGACCCCGTGTGGAGTCTCCAAACCCAACAGATCCCTGCAGTGTGCTCCTGCACTGCTTCTCCCAGGGGAGGAAGGGGAATCTCCCTGGATCTACCACTTTTTGGGTCCCTGCTGGAAGAGCAGTGGCCTGTGCCACAGATCATGGTTTATGGCAACCCCGAGGTGCAAGCCCACTCCTTGGCTCAGTCTCTGCAGCCAGCTTCCCTCCTCCGATACCTGGAGCTCTGCCGCACTCAGGCATCCCCAGTCTTTCTGTGACCCCCGAGGGTCCTGAGACCGCACTGTCCCGTGAGGGTTCCACACCCTGCTTAGCCACTGGAGCAATGTCCCTCAGTGGAGCAGATTTCTCAAAATTTCCGATTTTGTGCTCTGCTGCTCTATCACTTGCCTATAGTGGCTGACGGAGGCTCCCTCCCCCGCCATCTATCTTCCCGAATATCACCTCAGATTCACTTCTCCGCATGTCCTACCTTCCAAAAAGTGGTCGCTTTTCTGTTTAGAGAGTTGCTGCTATTCTTTTCTTCAATCTCCTGTTGAGTTTGTAGGTGTTCAGAATGGTTTGATCCCTATCTAGCTGAATTCCTGAGACCAGACAAAATTTAGGTCTCCTACTCCTCTGCCATCTTGCTCCTCCCTCTCCACTCTGCTCTTAGTTCTTAAATTATGATAGAGCTACTCTACTAGATTGTACACAGAGAGAGGTAGTAAGTTGAGGGAGATCCAGGTCAATGGAAACATGCAATAATCTGTCTCCATTTTTTTTCTTTTCTTTCTTTCTTTTTTTTTTTAAGATTTTACTTATTTATTTGACAGAGAGAGAGTGAGCGCACAAGGAGGAGGAGCAGAAGGCAGAGGGAGAGGGAGAAGTAGGCTCCCCACTGAGCAAGGAGCCCAATGCAGGGCTGGATGCACAGCTCGGTCCCAGGACCCTGGGATCATGACCTAAGCTGAAGGCAAACACTTAACTGACTGAGCCACCCAGGTACCCCAATCTTTGTCCATTTCTGAACTCAGACCTACTTCACTCCACCCACTGCTTTTGGTGCACTTAAGCCATAGAACCTAAAAAAAAAGTGATGGACTTAAAGGATTCAGGTTCTGTGACTTATCATATCCCTTCTCATAGTAGGGTGGCAACCATGGGGCAGTAACTGTCTATCTAATAAAGACAATCAGAAAAGTACAGATATGAAAGAAGTTGGATAGGCATAGCATAACCCTTTCATTGTACAGAGGTGAAAATATTTTTGGTGACTTGTCCAAAGTCAAAGTTTTCTATTTAAGAGCTAAAACTATAATCCAGATTTTTTAACTCTGAGCCTGATGTCTTTCCCTGATACCCATCTTGACTCCTTAACACAAATACTGGTTGCAGAATTTGCTAATTTCCTCACTATAATCTTTAGGCTGAAAAATTCTACTCTAAATTTAGCTGTATATAATTAGAGTGATATTGGTTAGTAAGAGTTTTAACTTTAATAACTCCTATTTTATTTTATATATTTTGTCATCAATTAAAAATATCCTGAGATGTTTCCTTTTATGTCTATACCATTTGAAATTATTTTATAAAAATTAGATTAACTTTTTGCATGATGTTGAATGATTTTCATGTCCCCCCCACCCTTTTTTTTTTAAGATAAATTTGGTTATAGCTCCAGATGTCTAGTTGGAAATCTATCCTCCTATTGAATACTTGAAACTAATCCTCAGATTCCACTTGCCAGGATCTGTGTTCTAACGGAGCTATTCCTCTCATCTGAGAAGAATCATCTGATAGTCTCTCTTACTTCTTCCACCCCCACCACTGCTGATAAATACCCGTTGAATCATAACTTTATATCCTCAAAGCTCAGGCAATGGTCAGACTTGGAAGATTCTCATTAAACTGAGGTAGTTTATATCTGGCAAGCAATAGTCTGTTAAAAAATGCATTTTTTAAAAGATTTTATTTATTTATAGATCATGATCGGGGAAGGGGCAGAGAGAGAATTTCAGGCAGACTCCATGCTGAGCATGCAGAGCCCAACTTGGAGCTTGATCTCACGACTCTGAGATCATGACCTGAGCCTATGTCAACAGTCAGACACTTAACCAACTGAGACACCCAGGTGCTCCTGCATTTGGCCTCTTAAAGAAAGGTAGTTGTCATGTTACAATGGAACATCTGCTAAATAATAAGCCATTACATGTTGAGTATCTATGATGTTGTGCCAATATCGAATGTGAATACTCTTTTTCATCATCACATCAATGAATTAGAAGTAAATCTATGTTTGGCAAGGACTTCCTCCTTCACAGTGGATGCCACATTTTTATTAGTATTTTCTCTTTTAGTTTCAACATCTTGCTACACTTTGTCCCTCAACCCAAACCTGGAAACTTAAGAACTCAGAGACTCCACTAGCTTTCTCTAGAACAGCTCTGCTCAACTGAGGGTAATTTTACCCCTAAAGGACATCTGACAATATCAAGAAGCATTTTTTTTATTGTCAGAACTAAGCAGGTGCTACTGATACTAGTAGGTAGAAGCCAAAGATGCTGCTAAATATTCCACAATGTATAAGGCAGCCCCCACAACGAAGAGTTATCTGGTCTAAAATGTCATTAGTGTTGAGTTGAGAAATCCAGTTCGGGAGAGTGCTGCCCCCAGATAGCAGTTCCCAGTTTTTCCCTATAGAGATGGAAAGTCCATGTTCCCTGCATTTCCATATATGGGAATGGCCATGCTTCATGTATCTGACCAATATGATCATTTATAATGATGAACACACAAGAGCTCTCAGCAGTAAGGACTCAAGTCTGGAATCATTAGCCACCTTTTATTCATGATTTCAAATCACAGAAAGAAGAAGGATCTTAAGAGTAAATAAAGTATGTTGAATGGATTTTGTTTGCAGTTTCTCCTCCACTACTGACCTAATTTCTAGTCATATAGGAAATGTACAATTGAAGGATTTTAAAGAAACATGACACAATGCAAAGGCAAGTATAAGGTACCAAGTTAATAATATATGCCAATGACTGTTTTCAGACAATGGAAAGAATAGTGAATCCACTATTGAATAGAATCCACATAATGAATATACTAACGGCAACACTCCATTTCTTTCCTTCATGATCATGTTTGATGGAGAATGGCTTGAAATTGCTATTATATAAGCTGGAGGAAAAGTGCTTTGAGAGTACTGAATACAAAATAAAAGAACTAGAGGTTTTACAAATCCCAGCAGATTGGAGGAAGAGAAGACTATTAAAATATGTGATACTAGAAGAAAATTGTTTCTGTAATTGAGAAGTTACTTATCAACCAATATTTGCTGTGTATACTTTTTTTTTTTTGCCATGTATACTTTAATCTCATAGCCTGACTCTTACCTGTAGGATCACTGGAGATGGCTGGCTTATATCCCACACTCCTGGAGCTATCATTTCTATGGGAGGCTCATTCTGTAACGTCATGCTGAATAGCATAGACCCAAGAATGGATTTGCTACAAAAGACAACACATATAGATAGACAGGAGTCACTTCAAGAGGGAAGTTATTATTACCTATAAATGCTTTCTTTTAGAATGTAAACATAACCAGCTATTTCAGTGGCTTCATTCAGTAGCTAGAATAGAAACACAATATTCCACAAGTCTAGATACTGATTAGTAGTTAATTCTAATATATGACATGCATGGCTATGTTCACAGATAGCTACATTTATTTTCCACATGAAAAAATTATTTCCACAATAGCTTCTGACAGGTAGAATTTATTTTTAATATCCAACAGTATTGATTACAAGATGGGATTGAGATTCTTGGAGTTATGAGTGCCTCAAGTCAATAAAGATATCAACTCTTCAGAACATGTTTGCTCCACAAAGTGACTAAATTTCCTGAGCATCATTAAAGGTATGAGCTCTAAATTTACAGAAAGAAAAGATTTAAATTAGCATATGATCTGCAGAATCAAAATAGTTGTGGGACTTCAGAGAGGAAATGCTTCTAAATAGAAAGATTATTCATAGTCTGAATGTTTAAAAATAGGTTGTAAATTACCATTGTAAATGAGGATGCATACAGGAAGACTTTAGACAGGAAGAATTCATGGATGGTTTTAACAGCTTCAGTAACATCCAAATCCACAGATCTTCATAGGAATTAAAAGGGAATCTATACTTGACTGTATGTATGAATTAGATTATTAGTAAAATGTTCCAATGATCACTGAGGACAGTCTTTGACTTTAATATACCAAAATAAAAGTGTAAGCAAGACAACAAAAATTAAAATTTATAAAGAAATTTAAGACATCAAGTCTTTTTGAAAACACTATAGAGGGGGAAGGAGCTAAGACGGCAGAGTAGTAGGAGGACCCTAGGCTTGCCTTGTCCCTCAAACACAGCTAGATAAATATCAAATCATTCTGAATACCCAAGAAATCAATCTGAGGACTTACAGAACAAACTACACAACTAGAGGGAGAGAGGACACCACATCGTGGAAGGTAGGAGGTGTGCAGATGTGTGGAAGGGGTGGGAGCCCTGGTTACAGAGAGAGACAAGAGAAAGAGGAGCACACAGGGGATTGCACAAGGAAAACAATTCCCCAAAGCCATTGACTAGGAAAATAAGAGGGGCTGATTTTCGTATTTGCCACCAGCAGGGCTCAAAGACTGGAGTTTTAAAAGTTCATGGCATGGCTGGTATAAAGCCCTGAGGGTGCTGCAGTGTTCCTGTAGAGAAGGCAGGCAGGTAATTCAGGGGGCATAGGGCATGATCTGTGGATCACCTGAGATGCACTGGAAGATGGCTCCCCCTTCTTGGAGTTCATCTGAGAGAGGAGGCACTGCCTTTCTGGGGACAAAGGAGCTGGTGGGCGCCATTTCCCTCCCCCCATCCCTCAGCATAGATGCAGAGACACCTGCTGAGGGCAGTAAATCTGGACACTGGCTCCTTAGTGCACTTTGCTCCAAATCCCGCACTCCTGTACTCTGGTGCAACTGCCCTTCTGGGTCAAATCTGCACCAATACCAGGGCAGCAAGATCCTCCCCCAGAAGACCAGTGTATGTCTCTTCCACAGCAGGTCCCTAAAGTTTGGAGATTGATTGATTGATTGATTTTTAAGTAGGCTCCACATGGTGCTTGAACTCACAATCCTGAGATCAAGACCTAAGCTGAGGTCAAGAGTCAGACGCTTAACTGCAAGTCACCCCGGTACTCTTAAAGATTGGAGTTTTAAAACTCAGCTGGCCTGGCTGGGCTAAAATCCAAAGTGCATTGTGCTGCTCCAGGCAGGCAAGTAACCCAGACACAGATAGTATGAAAACAGTGATCTGAAAAACACCTATGATGCAAGAGAGGAAATTATTCACTCTTCTAGGAGGACTTCCCTGACAACAGCAAGCACAAACTCCCCTCTGTGGGGACAAAGGAGCTGCTGTTTCTCTACCTGACCCCTCAGCATAAACAAATGTCAGTAAACAGCACAGCACCAACACTGGTGGCCTAAACCTAAGCCCTGCCCCCATTGTGCTCTGCTGCTACTGCTTTTCTTCAGGAAGTGTGCTTAAGGACCAGTGCAGCAGGCCCTTCCACCTGAAGGCCAGCACAAATCCCTGCATGCACCATGTCTACTGACCATAGAGTTCTGCACACTTCAGCTCCAGTGGAAATACTTTTAGGTCTCTTTTACCAGGCAGATCAGAGCACACCTAGTTAAAACTCACCATACTCTGGCCAAGGTCCAAACACTCTCCACTACAGGCAAGGGGAAACCCTGAAGAAGATTGACCTGATGAATAGAGCAGCCATAACACAACAGCAGAGTGCATACAGCATACACCAGAGACACTTCCTTAAGGTCCAGGCCTTGAACGTTATATGACTTCATCATAGAGCCATTACTCTCAGGAGCAGGGAACATAGCAGTCTTTCCTAACACAGAGAAGACAGAGACCTAGACAAAAATACCAAGAGAGAGAGGAACTCATCCCAAAAGAAACAAGAAAAGGTCATGGCTAGGGATCCAATCAAAACAGATATAAGTAATATACCTGATCCAGAATTTAAAGCTACAATCATAATAGGATACTATCTGGGCTTGAGAAAAGCGTGGAAGATACCAGGGAGACCCTTACTGCAGAGATAAAAGAGCTTAAAACCAATCAGGCCAAAATAAAAAATGTAATAACCAAGATTTGAAACAGATTGGATCCAATGATCATAAGGATGGAAGAATCAGAGGAATGAATAAATGATAACGAAGATAGAATTATGGAGAATAATGAAGGTGATCAAAAGAAGGAAAAAAATCTTGTATCATGGAAGTAGACTTAGGGAATTCAGCGATTCCATGAAATGTATTAACATTCCCATGATAGGAGTCCCAGAAGAGGAAGAAGAGAGAAAGGGGGCAGAAGGTTTATTTGAGGAAATTATAGCTGAAAACTTCCCTAATCTGGGGAAGGAAACAGACTCCATATCCAGGGAGCACAGAGAACTCCCATCAAAATCAACAAAAGCAGGCCAATACTAAGACATATTGTAGTTGAATTTGCAAAATATAGAGATAAGGAAAATATCCTAAAAGCAGCAAGACAAAAGAATTCCCTAACTTACAAGTGAAGAAAAGTGAGGTTAGCAGAGATCTATCCACAGAAAGCCAGAAAAAAGTGGCATGATATATTCAACGTGCTGAATGGGAAAAATCTGCAACCAAGAATAATACTCTATCTGCAAGGCTATCATTCAGAATAGAAGGAGAGATAAAGAGTGTCCTAGAAAAACAAAAGCTAAAGGAATTTGTGTCTGCTAACCCAGTCCTGCAAAGATATTAAAGGGGACTCTTTGAGTGGGAAAAAAGACTAAAAAGGAACAGAGAAAATCTCCAGAAACAACAACAAAACAAGCAATAAAACGGCACTAAATTGATATCTATCCATAATTACTCTGAACGTAAATGGACTAAACACTCCATCAAAAGACATAGGCTGTCAGAATGGATAAAAAAGCAAGACCCATCTATATGCTGTCTACAAGAAACTCATTTTAGACCTAAATGCACCTGAAGGTTGAAAGTAAAGGGATGGAGAAATATTTGTCATGCAAATAGACATAAAAAGAAAGCCAGAGTAGCAAATATTTACATGAGACAGACTAGATTTTAAACCAAAGACTGTGACAAAAGATGAAGAAGGGCACCGTATTAAAATAAAGGGGTCTATCCAACAGGGAGCTCCAACAATTGTAAATATTTTTGCCCCCAATTTGGGAGCACCCAAATACATAAAACAATTACTAACAAATACAGTGGAACTCATTGACAAAGCAGGAGAGAATTTCCAATGGCAAAAAGACAGTCTCTTCAACAAATGAGTGAAACTGGACCACTTTCTTACACCATACACAAAAATAAATTCAAAATGAGTGAAAGACCTAAATGTGAGACTTGAAACCATAAAAATCCTAAGAGAGAACACAGGCAGCAACTACTTTGACTACTTGACCATGGCAACTTCTCACTAGACACATCACCATAGGTAAAAAAAGGGAAACAAAGGCAAAAATGATCTACTGAGACTTCATCAAGATAAAAAGTTTCTGCACGGTGAAGGAAGCAATCAACAAAACTAAAAGGCAGCCTACGGAATGGGAGAAGATATTTGCAAATGATATATCTGATAAAGGGTTTGTATCCAAATCTACAAAGAGCTTACAAACTCAACACCCAAAAAAACAAATAATCCAGTTAAGAAATGGGCAGAAGACATGAATAGATATTTTTCTTTTTTTTTTTTTTAAAGATTTTATTTATTTATTTGACAAAGAGAGCCACAGCGAGAGAGGGAACGCACGCAGGGGCAGTGGGACAGGAAGAAGCAGGCTTTCCGCTGAGCAGGGAGACCGATGGGGGCTCGATCCCAGGACCCTGGGATCATGACCTGAGCTAAAGGCAGATGCTTAACAACTGAGCCACCCAGTCACCCCCTGAATAGACATTTTTCTAAAGAAGACATAAAGAAGACATCCAGATGGCTAACAGACACATGAAAAGATGTTCAACATCACTCATCATCAGGGAAATACAAATCAAAACTACAATGAGATGCCACCTCACATTGGTCAGAATGGCTAAAATGAACAACACAGGAAACAACAGATGTTGGCAAGGATGCGGAGAAAAGGGAAATTTTACACTGTTGGTGGGAATGCAATCTTGTGCAGCCACTCTGGAAAACAGTATGGAGGTTCCTCAAAAAGTTAAAAATAGAACTACTTTACAATCCAGGAATCACACTACTAGGTATTTACCCAAAGGGTACAAAAATACTGATTTAAAGGGATACGTGCACCCTGATGTTTATAGCAGCATTATCAATAATAGCCAAATTATGGAAAAAGCCCAAGTGTCCATCGACTGATGAATTGATAAAGAGGTGGTATGTGTGTGTATATATATATATGTATATAAATATGTATATATATATGTGTATATATAC